GGGTGTCCAGGGTTACACCACTGCCAGGGCACGGGGTGTCCAGGGTTACACCACTGCCAAGACACAGGGTGTCCAGGGTTACACCGCTGCCAGGGCATGGGGTGTCCAGGGTTACACCACTGCCAGGGCACGGGACAGGACATCCTGCCAGTGCCTGAGGTGTCACCTCCTGCACTGCCTGGGGAAGCACTGGCAGCTCCAGCTGGCAGCTCTGCCAGCGGTGGCACAGAGCTTTCCCTGGGTCACAGGAGCCATGTCAGCACGGGGCTGATTGCCCTGTGCTCCAATGAGATGGGATTTATGACTCTGGAGCTCTGGCACACTGTGCCTGGGCTGTGTTTTATCTGAACGAGTTCAGATATCTGTTCATCCTGCTTTTAGAAGAAAGCACATGCAGTAATTTAGACCCTGTGGCATATTCCTGCAGGCCAGTGGCTATTTGCTACCTCTGTTTATGTTTCCATATAAATTGAGTATAAAGAGTTGTTCCTCCAGACAACTGCAACTTAAAAGCAAATTCAAGAAAAAATACCAGTTGAAATATTTCCTATAAAGGGGTTCAGGTAAGACAACAGAGAAAAGTGACAATAAATCCAGTGTGATAGAGACAGGAACTTCAGGGTATTTTAAAGCTGCTGTTTTCTTTATTAGTGAGTTTTCATCAACATGAAAAAGTAGTGGTGTGTGTGGAACAAGCATTCAGGACACATAGGATCCTACCAGTGGAGGTCTTGGCTAGGCTTGGCCAAACCAGCCTGGCTTGTGCCCAGAGATCCACAAACACCCTTTCAGTCAGCAGCGTGTTGGGAGGGCACTGGAGGCAGTGGCTGCCCTGCACTCCTCTCATCCTGCTCCTCCTCCCCTCCTCTCCTCTTCTTCCTCCTGCTCCTCCTCTTCTCCTGCTTCTGCTCCTCCAGGCTCTTGCCCATGGAGACACTGGTGAGGGAAGTGTTCCCACAGGGCTGTCAGTGTCCATCCCCAGAGAAGGGAGGACGTGGGAAGCCCCAGCCATGCCTTGCCAGCTGTATCCAGGTACAGTCCTGTCCCTGACTCCGGCCTCTCGTGTGTTCTGCAGGGGCGCTGGGCATCTCCTGGGTGAAGTATTACTGCCAGTATGAAAAAGAGGCAAAAACCTTACGGATGACACCCATAGACCAGAAGCCTGGAGCTAAGCAAGTGAGTTGGATGTCTGCAAACCTTGGCCCAGCCGTGGGGTCTCCCCTTGCACTCGCCCGTGGTGTCCCTCCCATGCCAGCCGTGCGGGTGCCACGTGCAGGAGCAGCCGCCGGCCCTGCCATGGGAGCAGTGTCTGGCTGCAGGCTGGGCCCAGGGCAGCGCCTGGGGATGGGCTCCTGGCCACAGGGGAGGGGGGAGGCTCCATCCCCTCCCTGCCTTGTCCACACAGGGCAGTTTGGTGTCGCCTGAAAGAGCCACCTCTGTGAGGGGAGGTCTCACCCCTCTCTGTCCTTGGAGCTGAGGCCCGGCAGGGTTTGGCAGCAGGACATGGGGCCGTGTGGTGTGAGCGATGCTGGACAGTGCTGACCCATGAGTTCAGTCTGGGGTGAAGCTTGTGCTTCTCTAGACCAGCTGATGTTGATCCTTGCCCATGCACATGGGCTGTGAGCTGCAGCCTGGGCTTCACGAGCCCTCTGGCAGCCACTGCAGTGCTTGAATGACTCAAGTTGCTACAGGAGTTACTGCTTCCAAGCACAGCATTTCCCTGCCTCCTCATGTGCTCACAGCACTGCTCTGTGGTTTGTCTTCTGCTCTTGGCACTGGTTCTGTGGGACTGGGACAGTGTTAGGAGAGGAGGGGAGGGCAGCAATGCAGCTTCAAACTGCACTAAGGCAGTAATTTGGGGAACTGCTGCTTTTCACAAAGTGCTCGAAGTCTGGGAGTTCCCCCAGTGCCTCCTCGTGACAGGGAAGGGGTGGGAGGATGGAGCACAGCCAGTGCCTCCAGCTGAATCCCCCACCCTCCTCTGCCATGGAGCGGGTCCCCAGGGCCTTTCCAGCCTGGTGTGTGCTCCAGTGCATGAGCTCATGGTCTGTTCTTGGCAGTGCTCTGCACACTGCAGCAGGAAAATAAAATAGATGTTTTGCAAGTCTTTGGCAGAGACCTGGGCAAAGAAATGTCCAAACTATTGTCTGGAGAGATTTGTTGTCACCTATGCCATAAGCATGTCTAAGAAGGCCAATTACTGCAGGTAAGGGCTTGGAAACATGTAAATTAGTGCCTTTCCCAAATTCTGGCAGTCTGGGAATCTGCACCATCAGGTCATAGCTGGCCACACAACTTCACAATCACGTTATGAATTGACTGTGCTGCAGAGCACAGGGACATGAACACCCAGAACCAGGACTGAGCTCCCAGTGCCACCTCTCCAGAGCACACCTGCTCTAGATGGAAATGCCCCTTTGCCACATGGTGTTTGTGTAAAGCCATCAATGACCATCAGTGTTGTGGGTAACTGGTACTGATGATCAGCCCCGATAAAAATTAGGACCCAGCTGTGTCAGATCAGAGGGGAGCATGGTTCTGGCCTCAGGCACCAGGGACTGCCTCCCCAGGTTTGCTGGAGCAGCGTTCCAGGGCTGCAGAGGCACAGTGCTGGTGGGTGCGGTAATGCTGTGAAGTCCAGAAAATTCTGTGACTGAGGAGAGGAAGCCTGGAGCACAGAGCCTCTGATCCCTGCCTGTGTTGGTGGAGGGAGGGCCCCCTGTGCTCCTGTTACTGCCATCAGACTCTCAGGACATCTGTGGGCAGTGCTGGGCTGGGCTGGAGCTGCAGGGGAACCCGAAATCTTCTGTGTTTCTGTCCTCTCACCTTGGCTTTCATGTTCTCTCCTAGGGCACCTTGGACCTGACCCTGAAATCCTGCGTTAGGAGAAAGACTGACTCCATAGACAAAAGGTTTTGTTTTGACATTGAAACCAATGAAAGGTGAGAGGCTTCGCATTCAGGCGGCCCCAAACCCCACGGGCCTGGAGCAAATCCCTCTTTGCTGTCTATTAAAAACAACTTTTCTTCCTTTCCCTGCCTGTCCCTGGGGGAATTCCACGCAGGTCCGGGACCATCACGCTGCAGGCGCTCTCGGAAGCCAACCGAAGGCTGTGGATGGAGGCAATGGACGGGAAGGAGCCAGTGAGTGTTCCCGGAGCTGTTCCCAGCTGGAATGTGCTGTCGAGCAGTGTCCTCTGCCGGCGGGTGCAGGGCACACTCGGGGACACGGCCCCTGCTCTGTGCCCCTCCTGCTTCTCTGCAGTACCTGCTGGTGGATCATGGCCTTGGGCTCCGTGCTGGGCTCGGCACAGCTCCCTCTGGGGATTTTGGGTTTCCCCCTAAATGTCGGGATGTTCCCTGGCTGTGCCAGCCCGCTTGAGGACTAGCCTTTCCGAGGCTGGGATGCTCCCATTCCTGCTCCTCACTGCCTGCCAGAGCTGATGTTTTGTCTGTCCCTGCTCTGAGCAGCCTTTGGAAAGGTGGGGCTGCCCACCCTGCACCCGTGTTCTCCCACCTTTCTGTGCCTACTGGGGTTTCCTTCCTTCAGTCTGAGCGAAGCTCAGAGCCCTGCAGTTTGCCTACAGAACAGAGAATTTCCCTAGCAACAAGTGCCCCAAGGAAATGCAGGGAGGCATCAGAAACTCCTTTTTGTGCAGATAATGGGATCTTGCTAATTGTAAAATGGCATTTCTATGGGACATTGTCTTTTTGGCTGTTATTGGCTCTGGGTGATTTATGGATGATTTATGGGTGACCTATGGGTGATCTATGGATGATTTATGGGTCATCTGTGGGTGGTTTATGGGTGATCTGTGGGTAATCTTTGGGTAATCTATGGGTGATTTATCAAGTGCTGCATTTTCTTTCAGAAATAAGTACTAAATCATGCTGATGATGTTTTTGTTTCTCCCTCTCCCATTCCCTCTCCCTTTTTCAGATCTACCACAGTCCCATCACGAAGCAGGAAGAAAGTGAGTCACTTCTGTTACTGTTATCTGGGCTCCCAGAGCTGTCCAGAGGCTGGGCAGGGTTTTCCTTGCACATACTCTCATTCCCAATTGCTGCCAAGTAGCTGTGTCCCCCCTCTGTGGTGGCAGTGTCGCTTCTGTCCTTGCATCACAGTGTCTGGCACTGAGCCCAGATAAGAATGGGTTGCAGACAGTAGAAGTTAGTGATGCAAGGAGCAGTTTTTATTTAGCCAGGAGTAGTGGGATGTGGGGTTCAATTTGCACCTCCAAATGCCAGCGTAACAGAGGGGAAAAGATCAGTGAGAGACTCTGAGGATATGTCCCTTAGCAAAGATACTAATAGGGCAACAGAAGTGGCATTTAGTTCCCTGGAGGTCCCACCCACCACAGTGTCCCACGTCCCCCCTCTCGGCAGTGGGGTGCACCTTGGGAGCCCTGAACGCTCCAGGGCCTCGTTAGCTGGGTGAAACCTGCATTCTGTCTCAGAGCTCACTTTGTCAGCACTGTAATTAGCTGGCTCTAATGAGCACAGGGGCATGAGCACAAACCTGCTGTGCGGCCGTGTTCACATGGCACACTGGGAGCAGTGTGACTCAGAGGTTCACTAAATAAACACTCTCTATTTTTAATAGATTAGAGCTGGTAAGTGTTCCAGTGGTATCACAGCCCTCGGAATCAAGCACCGAGGGGGTCTGTGCTGATTCCTGTGGTAAGACTAAGAAACATCTGAACTTGGTGTTGCTGTTGCTCAGAGCAGAAATAACCAGTACAAACAACCTGCTGAAAATGCAGGGACCCCATGGGCTTCCCCAGCACAGCCTGTGCTGGACTGGGATTGATCCAGATATATCCTGTGGCTGTTTTTTCCAGCAAAATGTTGTTTTAAGTTAAAAAGAGACAGGCCCAGAGCTGAACTGTGGGTAGTTGGCTGGAACAAGCCCTGTTCTCTGCTTTCCTCAGCACATCAAGCTGGGTTCATTTTGGTTTTTAATTCTAGTGATGTAGAGAAGCAGAAAATACATTATTGCATGATGGGGAAGAGCTTCAACTGCAAATTTTGCTCTGGAAGTGATTAATGAAGTCCTTATCAGACACAATTCACATGTGGCAGGACCTGATTTACACTGCTATTATTAAAGACAGAGAGGGGATAGGGAGCAGTACTGCGACTCAAAATAAATTTGAGGGGAAATGGGAGAACATATGGAACTAATAACTGCTTGTCAGGATGTACAGAGTGCTGGTGTTTTCCTGGAGGGATGTACAGGATGCAGGTGTAGGTGTGAACGTATCTGTGAGCTGGGGCACTGCAGCTTGGGGTGCTGAGAGGAGCTGGAGCTGGGGGTGTCCCAGGGGTCCCCAGGGGTGCTCAGGCAGCTTAACATGGATTCCTTGTCCCAAACAGTGGAGCTGAATGAGGTCGGCTTCAAGTTTGTTCGGAAGTGCATCAACGCGGTGGAGACGAAAGGTGAGGAGCTCGCCCTGCTGTCGGGAGGTGCTGCTGGCCTGGCCCTGCCTCCCGTGGCCTCAAGGCACCTCATAGTTCCTGTAGTACTGTGTTTGTTAGTCACTGACACAGGACCTCGGCTTTTAGCTGAAGAATACTTGTTCTTCAGGAGCAGAAATCCTGTGTAGTCTGGAATGTCATCATACCAAATTCGGTTGGGATTGAACTTCCACCTTTATGCTGTTTTCACTCCTGGTCTTCTCAGTTCTGGCTCTGAGCACACCCACTGTCAGGCAGCAGGAGAGCAGCTCTGACAGCCCATGCTGGGGGCCAGGCAGAGCTGGGGAGGGTACAGGGTTGTTCAGCCCCAGTCTGTGCAGCAGCAGGACAGAAACAGGCTGAGGGGTGGCAGCTCATCCTCTGGGCTGTCCCATGTCTCCCAGCCTCCACCAGTGAACATCCAGTGAACTTCACCAGAGTGGGCTGGAGGAGTAGGGTGAATCGCTCGGAACTGCTGGATGCCCAGGCTGCTGCAGGGAATGGTGCCTGGGTTCATCTCCAGAACCTCTGGGACTGTGGCAGCCAAGGCCTGCTGGAGTGGGGAACAATGGGGTGACTAAGACCCTGCTCACAGAGCTGGGAAAGACAGTGGCTCTGCCTATCCCAGCACTGGCCAGTGTTTTCAGAATCTACTTCAATGTGTTTGTCTTCTCCCCGGGTTTGAGCACATTCATGTTAAACCTGCAGCCCCCAGAAATGGCACATTTGGGCTGGTGTATCCCATGCACTGGCTGACCGGGCGGTGGGACAGAGCCCGGCAGCAGGGAGAGCAGTTCCACTAGATGGGGCTTTTGGGCTTCCAACCAGTGGGAGGACCTTGGCTGACAGTCCTGACTTTCTCCTCTTAGGAATCACCACAGAGGGCGTGTACCGGACTGTTGGCAGCAATATCCAGGTGCAGAAGTTGCTGAATGCCTTTTTTGGTAAGAATTAATTATTCCATGTAATTACCCTGTCCCGGTTTTGAATTACTGGGGAGGGACAGAGAGTACCAAGTACCCCAGTAAGAATGTCCAATGTGGGTCCCTGCAACCCCTCTGAGTCACATGTTCCCCTCCTTTCCTGGGCCTTTTCCCCTTCTTTCCTATATCATGGTGAGCTGGACTGGGATAACACAGTGAGCTGGACTGGGGAGGCAGCCTCTGCAGGGAGGCCTCCATCCTGGTGTAAGGTTTTTCCCTGGAAGGATGGGGACACCTCCCTGTGTGCGTTAGGGAGTCAGTGTACCTGTTAAGAAGTCGGTGGATGCATTCCTGCTGTGAGCCTGCCTGTGGCTGGATCTGTGTCACAGAATGTGGCAGCTGGGGGCAGTCTCTATAGGAGACTCCCTGGGCAGGCTGTGGGGCTCAGCAGCACAGCTCTGTGCTGGGACAGGTGCTGCCAGGCTGGGACCTGGCTGAGGCCATCGTGCCCCGACCCCTGCGAGCCCCTGGGTGAGCCCTGGGCTCGGTGCCCAAGGCTGAGCCATTCTCTGCAGCCCTGCATGGGGGCTGGAGCACAGGGCAAGGAGTGTGATCCCCTCACTGCCTGTGTGCCTCGGGCTCACCCCAGCTCAGGCACCTGATATTAATGCAGCATTCATAGCCTTTGGCTGTTGCTTCCTGTTGCTTCTACTCTGGATGATGTTTATTAAGACGCTGGTTTGTGCTGGCATCTGGCTGTGCCCAGTTCTCATGGAGCCATGACTGGCTCCACTAGCCTGTGACTCATTGCTGAGCCTCAAGTTTTATTGCTGCTTGATTCTCACCCTCCCTGTGAGCAGCTCTGTGGTTTCTCCTCCAAACCACACCAGTGAGTGGCTTTTTGTTTTGTTTATCTGCATGGCCTGGATAACCACTTGCTACCCACTGGGTATGAATGCATGATGGAAAGTCCAACACCACAGAAATAACTGCTGCAGCAGGATTTCAACCTGAACTGCTCTAAAGAGTTAGATTTTTGTTTGTTTGCTTGCTTCTACTCCTCTTTCTTTTTAAAAATAAATCCTGATGTTTATTTTTTTAGTCTAACTGCCCCCCATCCTGCAACCACATCCTTCACTTCATGGCACCAGAGACATGATGTGGTTGTTCAGTGAGGGTGGGTAGGAGCAAACTGTCCTTCCACACTGCTGGGCCCCCCCTGAGCTCCTTCCTCTCCCTGCAGTGAGAGGAAATGCTTCCAGAACAGCATTCAGGGGAGCAAAGGGGGGATTGGAGCTGGCACTCAGATTACTGTGGATGTCAGAAAGCTTGTCTTGGGCCTGTTGAAATCTGTTGTTTCTGCCAGTCTTGGGAAAAAGCAAACTATGGAGAATACGTCCTCACTGACTTTTCAGCACTGCTTAAATTTGATCTTCTGCTTCCCCCCTTGTCCCTCATTAGCACTGCTCCCCAGCCTCTCCAAAGTCCTGACATTGGTACTTTTCCCAGCTTTTCCCTGTTCTGTTTTTCTCAGCTACGGGAATCAGAAGCTCTCTTTGTGTGCTGCTGTGGCTTCATATGTCTCGAGGGGAAACCCCACCAGAGCAGACTATTTATAAACAACCTCTAAATGAACCTTATTTTAAAGGCATTTTGTTTTTCCTCCAGATCCGAAATGCCCCGGGGACGTGGATCTCCAGAGTGGGGACTGGGACATCAAGACCATTACCAGTTCACTGAAGTTCTATCTCAGGTAGCACTGCAGGTCGGCCCTGCCCCCAGGGGGCAAAGGAGCCTGGGGCTGATTCAGGTGAAAAGTGGAGTAATTTGCCAGATGTTTACATCTGGCTATTGGAGAGGGCTGAGTCACAAAGGCTTGGGGAAGAAGACTGGATTTTGATAAATGTGGGTGTTGCAGAACCCCCCATGCCATGGGGAGAGCTCTTTCAGGGATGCTGCCTGGGGAGGTGCCGCTGTGGTGGCACTGAGGGAGCAGGCGGGTTCCCGTCGGTCCAGGGTCGGTGACGAGCAGGTCATGCTGTCCTGCACAACTCAGTTTTCTTTCTGGTTGTTGCAGGAACCTGTCTGAACCCGTCATGACATACAAGCTCCACAAAGAGCTGGTCCTGGCTGCCAGTAAGTGCCACAGCTGCCCCACTGATGGTCCCTGGCCCTGCCCTCCCCAGACAAGGTCCATCAAAATCATTTGGCAGAGCTCTGCCAGCCCAACTCTGTGGTGTCTGGCTGCTTCCCCTGTTCAAAGAACAGTGACCCTCTTTTTCAAGTACTTACCTGTACAGGGGAGGTGGATTTTCCTTCTTTCCTTTGCTGCTGCAGTGCCCTTCCTTTGAACAGGGTTTCATGTTCTCAGAGGGTCTGGAGAGCCAGGGTATGTCACTCACCTGAGAGCAGTACAACAGTCCCACAAGAATTGCTGCCCTATAGTATTGGTATATTTATTTTAAAACCCACGAGGGAATGGGCTGTGCTGTTCCCACATAGATAGCACACAGATAGGTGCTCCCTTTAGGTCGTGAAATTTGTCCTGGGATGTTGAATCCAAAGTATCTACCAGTACATGAAAGACATTTCTCTGCTCAGCTCTTGGGATTGAGCCACAGCCAGGAATAACAGAGGTCAGCCAGGAAGCACAGGTGTATTGCCAGGCCCTCACGTGTGCTGAGCTGGCCCGTCCTCAACTGTCCCCTCATCGTGGCCATTGCAGATAAGCTGTGACAGTTGTGAACTGGCTGCATCCTCAGAGCGTGTTGGGAGCCCGTGTTCTGTGAGGGAGACAGAGGGATGCAGGAAGCTGGTCATTGCTCTCAGCATGGGAGTGCTGGCATTCAGAAATATGTGGCATTAGAACGTCCCTCACTCCCCTGTGCACCTGGAAGTCAATGGGAGGGCAGGGGCCACCTCTCCTCCATGTGGCTCCCTGGAGAATGAATAACATCCCTTCTTTCTTGGAAAGGGAAATGTTCCACCTCCTGCTGATGGTGCTAAATAAAGCCCAGGATTTATTAGTTTCAGAACTGGTTAAGTCTGTGATGTCTGGGCAGGACCCCGATCCCTTCCCTGCAGCACTGAGCTTCCCAGCCACTAGATCCCAAACCATTCTTACACTGAGTATTTTATTGTTTCTGATTATTTATGCTTCTAAGGGTGACCTCTTTGGGTCAGGGACTCATTTTTTTCCCCTGCAGGATATTTTGGGTGTTGTTCAGTGTTAGAGCTCTCTGGGCTGATAAGACACCAGAGAGGGACCATGTGCTCCCCGGTGTGTGGGGTGAGGGTGCCAAGGGAGGACCTGCCCATGCCCAACCTCTTTCAGCCTGCGACCCTGAGCTCCTTTTCAAGCTCCATTTCTTCCTCTTTCTACCTCACGTTGTTCCTCCCAGTGTTCACCCTGTTGCTGTGAAGTCTCACTTCTCTCTGCTCCCTCTTGCTCTCCCACTGCACAGAGAACAGCTTTGGTTTCCTTTGGCTTTATCTTTCCCTGGTGTATTTACTTCGAAAGTGGTGGGCACAAACTCTTCTCTGTGTTACTGCTTTCCAGAGTCCGAGAACCTGGATTACAGGCTGGGAGCTATTCATGCACTGGTGTATAAACTGCCTGACAAGAACAGGGAGATGTTAGAGCTCCTCATCCAGCACCTTGTCAAGTAAGCAGATGTTTTCCTCTAAAACCAAAGAAAGGGAATAATAGAATCAGCAGAACAAGCCATTTTTGGGGTTAGGTTTGCAAAATTGTATCCACCACAGCCCCCTTGGGAATTTCCACATGGGCTGCACGAATGAGGTGATTATCCTTGCTTCTCTCTGCATGAAGTGATGCTTCTCTTTCTGATTGCCCCTTCCACCCCTTTCTGACACACACAGAGCAGGAAATTATTTTAAAATTAAAATACCCTCTTGAGAGCAGGGCTGTAAATCTCGCCTCTCGCTCCAGGTAACAGGAATGTTAGGTCTGGGGTTCGGAATGGCTGTGGGACCTGTGCCCATGGGCTGCATGTGGAGCTTTGGTTTTATCTGCAGCCCTGTGGGTCAATGTCCTGAGCCCTCAGAGCAGCAGGAAGACACGAGCATGTTGGTCAGGTTCTGGCACAGGCATGTGGCAGTGGGTGCTTGGTGGCACTGAGCAGGGACCTGTGGCTCCCCCTGTGAGCCACTGAAAGAGCCTGTTACTGATGATCATGGCACCAGCACTGCACTGGCAATGGAGGTTTTCCTGCCTCCTTGTCACTCCAAACTCAAAGACTTGGTAGGCAGGGGCAGTGGTTTGGGCTCCAGAATTGCTTTGGAGAAGCTGTTTTCAAACCTGGACTGTTTCCATCAGCAGGGCTGACCTGGCACTGTCACCCTGGCACACAAAGGGGAGTGCCATGCCCCAATGCCATGGTCCCTCAGGGGGGCTGCTTTGGGGGACCCTGCCTACAAGCTGGTTTCAGCCTTTCAGGTACCTGTCTGTGTGGTTTTAGGAACCTTTCTGTGTGTGAGGCTGAGCCAGGTGCCTGGCGTGCACCATGAGCACACCAAGTGCCCCGTGAGGCTGATGCAATGCTTGTGGTCACTGAGTTTATTCCTCAAAGTGTTTACTCTTAAATTCTATTCACTCTCCCCCTGGAGACAGAACCCTCTAAGGCCAGAGCTACAGGGCAAACCCAGAGTTCATCACATGTCAGCATCAGTCTCTCCTCAGGTCCAGTTCTGGCTGAGGCAGTGCCCACCTGCATGGTTTGTATTGCAGCCAACATCTAGGGCTGCCCTGCAGGCTCCATCCTCCTCCAGAGCTGGGGCACTGCTGGGCAGGCAGAGCTCTGCCCTGTGGAACTGGGGTCTCTCAGAGAGCAGATGCTGTGCAGAGATTTATTGGAAACCACTGAAGTGTGCTCCCTACCTTCAGTCCTCTTCCTTCAGAGAGAAGGAAAATTAAAGCCAGAAGTTAGTTCTGGATAAATAGGATGCAGGATTTAAATGATTCCTTTGTTGAGTCCTTTTGTGTATGTGTTGTGCAGATGACTTTTGATTTCAGAGTTAAAGCGGAGCTGGGAGTGGGAAGGGATCAAATGAAAATGCTGTCAGCACGTTGCTCTCCCAGCAGCCGTCGGAGCTAGAACCGTGTTTGTCTCTGCCAGGAAACAGGTTCTCTTGAGACACAATGAAGAAAATTGAAGGACTGATTCTTACTGCATCCTGGGTTTTTATGGCCTGTAGTGAGATCTGTTTGGAAAAACCCAAACCAAACCCTATTCCTCCTTCCCCTGCTCTCTGCAGTGTGTGTGAGCACAGCCGGGAGAACCTGATGTCGCCGTCCAACATGGGTGTGATCTTCGGGCCCACTCTCATGCGGGCACAGGAGGACACTGTGGCAGCGATGATGAACATCAAGTTCCAAAACATCGTGGTCGAGATCCTGATCGAGCACTTTGGGAAGGTACAGGCAGCCCCCCAGCCCGGAGCTGCTCCGGCTGCTCCTGCACACTGTTGCTGCGGCAACGCGGCAGCGCTCTGGGAGCCTCCTTGGGCTGGGTCTGTGTAACACACTGCTCTGAAAGACTTCAGGAGGAAACAAAGAATTGCAGGTGTGTTCCTCACCGTGGCCTTTAGCTGGTCCCAGAGCAAACACCTAGTCTGGGCATTTTTGCTGTTTGCTGTGAGGGGGCTGGGGCAGCCCCCAGCAATAGGGCAGCACAGGGGCAGGGAGAGGAAAGGAATAGGTGGCTGAAGCTGGATCGGCAAGGTTCTTGCAATGGGAGATGTGGAGCCAGAGCAACCAGGTGGGGACCAGATGTGGGGGTGGGACCAGATGTGGGGGTGGAAGTCGGCTGTAGTGCCAAGGATTGAAACCAGAGAAACAGGATGAAAGAGCTCAGAGACACTTCTGAGTATCCACACCAGAAGCTCAGGGAAACACAAGGCAGTTCCTCTGTAGGTCTCTGTGAAGGCTTTTAATAAGTTCCCACAGAAAAACAGGGACTGGTTTGTGTCTGGGGTCTCACCCAGCTCACTCCAGAGCTGAGGCTCTGTCCTCCCTCCATACAGCCCATGGCTCAGGCTGAGTCACCACACCATTGCCCTACCACCTCCAAGAGCTGGGATGGCATCTTTAATTAAACCACATGTCCCTTGGCTTGCTTTTAATTTCTCTAGCAATAAGGTTAAGTTAGTCACATTTACTAGATTGAGCTTGTAAGTTCAGTGTTTGAGTTGTGTGTCTTCAACTCACACATGAGCAAACAGATGAGTCTGGAGGAAGAGGGGATGTGGGTTATGTGGTGCAATGTGAAGGCTCCGAGGACAAAGTAACTATGAAGTCTTTGTGGATAATATTACTGTTTTCACAGTTCATGTTTCAGTACCATGAGTTAAGTCGAATAAGTTAAATAGGTTGATTGTTCTGGAAACATCTTCTTCCCTATACAACCCTTCGTAAGGTGAGGGTATGTCGATATCTTTGTACCTTCAGGTTGTTTAACTTGGATTTTCATTTAGAAGCAAAGCAGAGGCTGCACTCATATCTTAAACAGAGTTGTTTGTGGTGGGTTTAGCTTGGGTCTCAGGTGTTGAAAAGCACCTTGTCAAAGCAGCATTCTCTGGTACCTCTATAAGCATATATTGGGAACGTAACACTTCTTTAAAAATCAGGATTGGATTCTGGTCAGGATATGGGAAGGAGGTTGATATTTCAAAAACATTGCCCTCCTGCAGGCAATACTTTGCTGTTTTAATAATACGTGAGCTGCTGCTTTTAACTCCCTCTGATTCCAGGCAGGGAGAGCACTCCAGACTTTGTGTTCCAGAGTGGGGAACATGTCCTGCCCCTGCCCAGGCAGAGCCCTGTGGGCACTGAGCCAGCACACGCCCTGTGCCACCAAACCCTGAGTGGTTTTGGTTTTTTTCCCAGAGAGGGAGTGGAGTCTCCCTCACCGGTGATGTTCCAGAACCATCTGGACACAATCCTGTGCCGTTTGCTCCAAAGACCCTGCCTGAGCAGGACGATGGACTGGTTGGCCCACTGTGCTCCCTTCCAGCCTGAACCATTCTGTGGTTCCTGCTGCTCCTCTCCTTGCAGGGGGGGCAGGCTGTCAGCAGCCAGGCCCGGGTCCAGCACACGGATCATCCCAGGCCAGCCCAGGCTGGGCACAGACACCCCAGCCATGGGGTATGGGCAGCCTGGCTGCTGCTGCTGCTCACCAGGTCCAAGGAGGTTGAACTAGGGATGTGCTTTCCTCTCCCATCCCTCATCTTGATCTCCCAGTCCTGCTCTTTGGCTGACAGAAGAAGGAATACACTTTTGGTTTGAATTACCAAAATGGGGCACTTAATCAAAGCAAAATGTTACATTTCTTCATGTTCAGATTTTTCTGGGTGACTCAATGAAGTCGTTTTTCTACATCAAAGTGTGGCCCGAGGGTGTGGTGGCCCAGCACTCTCATCCTCTGGGCTGGAGCCTGGAGGGGACCAGCTCCACATCTCCCAGGACAGGCAGTGAAGCCTTCAGGCAGCTCAGGCCACCCCTCCACAGTAACTCAGGCTTTCAATCCTAATATAACTTCAATTAACATCCCTGGGAATAACCTTGGAGCAGCTCCTTTGGGCCTTAACACTATGTTTCAGCTATTAAAATGAAATTCTTTTTCAGCTCTTAAAAAAAGCCCTGACATAAATAAGAACCTCTCAATTAAACCCACCAAATAGGTGCCATATGACCACTGAGAAAAGGAGATAAAAGTCAACTGTATTGTTTTTATGCCTCTAATTCTTCCCAGGTAATTTCCTGGTACCACACACTTCATTGTAAGCCGAGAGCTGGAGGGTTGTAGCGGTAGATCTGAAACAATGACGGGTTGGTTTGGGTGTTTGGAGATCGTATCACCTCACCAGTGGGAATTTTGATGTTCCTCAGGAGTTGTCAGCTCCAAAGCTTCAAAGCCTCCCTTGTCTGCTCCAGGAGAATTTGATTCTAGAGATTGTCTGTGTTTGTGATCTCGCTGCTGAGCCGTGGGGATGGCATCGGGGGGGGAGGGTGTTGTGGGGGGAGAGTGTTGGTGGTGTGGAGGTTATTGGTGGTGGGGAGGGTGTTGGTGATGGGGATGGTGCTGGTGGTGTCCACCATCCCCTCCGTGCTGGGTGGGGGCACCTGTGGGAGGTGAGGCAGCAGCCCCTTTGTGTTGGGTCACCTGGACATGTCTCCCTTTACAGATCTACTCCGGCCCCCCAGAGGACACCACGGCCCCTCCAGTGCCCCCACCCAGGGTGGCTGCTCGGCGCCACAAGCCCATCACCATCTCCAAACGTCCCCTGAGGGAAAGACCTGTCTTCTTTGGTGCTTCTGTGGAGGAAAGTGGAGGTCAGTCCAGCTGTTCTCTGATGCCTTACTTGCCTCTCACCCCTCCTGCTTCCTGTAACACCTTTCCAGAAGCAATGGAGGAAACAGCAGCAGGGCTGCACTTCCTTAGCCCTGGGCATGGCAGGCAGTGAGGGCTGTTCAGGGAGAAAGGAAAGCAAAAAATACACACGCGTGGGTTGCTTCATGTCACAAGTCAGATTCCCTGGGATTTGGGTTTTTCTGCTTCCTGCTGTGTTCTCCATTAGCTAAACTAAGGCTGGTTCTTGCACAGGAGAGGCCCAGAGAAAGGTTTTGTGGCTTCAGAGGCAAAGGTGCAAAGGGAACTGCACAGGGATGGGAACCAGGGAGGTCTGCAGTGCTGGCTCAGCCACTGGTGGTTCCAGAGCAAGAACTCCAAAGTACTTTTTCAGGACCCAGCGATAGTATTTTCTAGAGCAAGTTCAACTCTGCTGTTAAATCCAGCTGACTGTAAGGAAATGCTGAAGCCTTTATCGTAATGTCGAAGGGCACATCTGCTTAAGATCATGTTTCTGCACCCAATTTGCTCTAATTGTCACTGCAAACTGTGCCCTGATGCCATTGTTACCAAAGAGATGGCAAATTTCTTTCTCCATTACAGTTGTCAGAGCTTTTAGGCGGATGATGTTTTAGGCATAAAGTGTACACAAAATGCACTTTATGACACTGGCAAAACACGATTGATTCACGTTGCTCCTTAAAATCCCCAGCCTGCTCATGCAGTTGGGGCTGGCCTTGCATTCCAGTGCTTCCCTGAGCTGGGAGTGGAAGCACCAGCAGGGAGCAGACTGCAGGGAGCACAGGGAGCAGGCTGCAGGGAGCACAGGGAGCAGGCTGCAGGGAGCACAGGGAGCAGGCTGCAGGGAGCACAGGGAGCAGGCTGCAGGGAGCACAGGGAGCAGGTTGCAGGGAGCAGGCAGGTTCACAGCACAGCTCCTGCTCCTGGCTCTGTGGCACGGCGGGAGGGGTGAGGTGAAGGGTTTTTGGTGGGACATGGAGCATGGCACACAACTAACCCCACAGCTCTCTGTCCCCTTGACTCCGCAGCAGAGCGGCTCGGCC